TGGTGCTGGGGCTGGTGCTGGTGCTGGCCGTGCCCGGCATCGTGAGGGACCAGGTGGAGAAGGTGAGGCCCGGCGGGGCGGGACGGGGGCGAGCCCCTGCTGCAAGGGCTCCTGCCCGGCTTCCAGCCTGCTCCGCCCCGGGCTGGCGGCGGGCCCTCTGGGCACTCGCCTGCCTGCGTTGAGCACGGTCTCTCCGCGGGAGCCGCGTGTGGGTCGACTCCTCAGTTTTCCCCCTTCTTCCCTCTCATTCCCCGCCCCCCCTTGTTCCTGTGAGGGGAGGTAGCAGAGGCCCCAAGCCTTGGGGCCCAGGAGACTCCTTCCCACAAGCAAAACCCCCTTCTTGGGTCTCCTCCCCTCCTGCTGTCCAGCGCCTGAGCCTGGGTTTTGCAAGAATAAAAACAGAAGTAGAGGCAACATCTGCTGGCCAATGTGTCCAGACTGGTCCTAGGTGGCTGATCCCTCCTCTTGCGAGGGACTGGGCCAACCCCTGAGCCTCCTAGGCAACATCCCGAGTGTCTGCGTGCTTGGAACAGCTTGCTTGGCTCCCCACGCCTATTGCACACGCTGGAGAAAAGCCCTGAGCATGGAGCGGTAATCGGATTTGGGGTGAGGGGGAGAGGGTGGCAGGGTCTGGTGCTGGGCTGCTCTGGACTTGTGGGTCTGTGGAGGAAACAAAGACAACTCGCTTGTGTGTAAACAGGATCTCTGCCTAGCTTGAAGCCACATCTGATAAATGGTTATGTAACTCAGTACAATAGCGGAGGCTGCTGGGGTTACTGAGTGAGCAAAGCTGGGCATAGCTCATCCTGAGAGCCTTGAGAAGAATATGGCACCTCTGATACCGAGGGGAAGATAGTTTGGGGTCAATGGCCTTGGTAGGCAGAGGGTGGAAGATGTTGGGTCTTACACAGCTGAGCTTGGGGCTGACTTGCTGGGAGCAGAGAACAAGGCAGGAAGCAGCTTCCTTTGCGCTGGCTTGTCCCTCTATGCAGCTGGGATGCTGGCTGAGCATCCAGACATACTTTTTTTTTTTTTTTTTTTTTTTT